GAACCCGGGAGGCAGAGGTTGCCGTGAGCTGAGATCGTGCCACTGCACTCTAGCCTGGGTGGCAGAGTGAGACTCCATTACAAAGAAAAAGAAAAGAAAATACAAAAAGCAAAAATAAAATAGTAAATAAGGCTGGGTGCGGTGGCTCATGCCTGTACACCCAGCACTGTGGGAGGCTGAGGTGGGTGGATCACCTGAAGTCAGGAGTTTGAGACCAGCCTGACCAACCAACATGGTGAAATCCCGTCTCTACTAAAAATACAAAAATTAGCCAGGTATGGTGGTGTGTGCCTGTAATCCCAGCTACTCCAGAGGCTGAGGCAGGAGACTCACTTGAACCTGAGAGGTGGAGATTGCAGTGAGCCGAGATCATGCCACTGTACTTTAGCCTGGGTGACAGAGGGAGACTCCATCTCAAAAATAATAATAATAATAATACAAATAATACAAATTTAAAAAACAATATGATGTAACAACTGTTTACATAGAATTTACATAGCAGGTGTTATAAGTAATCTAGAGGTGATTTGAGTCCACAGGAGGCGGTGCAGAGGTTATATGCAAAGAACACGCCATTTTGTATCAGGGACTCCAGCCTTGTGGATTTTGGTGTTTTGGAGGTTCTGGATCCCATCCCCCAAGGATACAAAGGGACAGCTGTACTTGGGACTGGCATCAGAAATGGAGGACACGCTTGTGGGACTGAGACCTTAGCCTGCAGGATCGGATACTGTCTGCAGGGAGAAAGTGTCACAATGCAACAGGGCTGGAGGACACCCAGCGCGTGTCGGCTGGAGACTCGCTTGGTGTTTGGGGAAAATCCCCACACACATTTTGGTGACCAGAGTTGAAGTGTTCTGTGTTGGATGTTGACTGTTGAGTATGTGAGAGCAGGGAAAACACTGTTTTTTTTTTTCCTGTCTCAGACACCAGCCCAGCCCTGGAGTCAGCCATGTTTCTCCCAGGAACCTGGTTCCTTGTGTTGGGGGAATGGCGTCAGAGACCAAGATATGGGGCCAGGCACATTTTTTACTACTGCGGTATACATTCACAAATATTTTTATTTTTACTTATTTATTTATTGAAGATAGGGTCTCGCTCCGTTGCCCAACCTGGAGTGCAGTGTCGTGATCTCAGCTCCCTGCAACCTCCGCCTCCTGGGTTCAGGAGATTCTCCTGCCTCAGCCTCCTGGGTAGCTGGAATTATAGGCACGGAGCACCACGCCTGGCTAATTTTTCTATTTTTAGTAGAGATGGGGTTTCACCATGTTGGTCAGGCTGATCTTGAACTCCTGACCTCAGGTGATCCGTCCGCCTTGGCCTCCCAGAGTGCCGGGATTACCGGAGTGAGCCACCGCGCCCGACGGGCTTTTTTTTTTTTTTTAAGTACAGAGTTTAAATTTGCAACGGATGTTGTCACACAGTGGAAGTTCCCTGCTTCTGGCCCCTGGATAGCAAAGGCTACGCCTCAGCCATCGCTGCTGGAAGAGACACGGCTTAGTGTTGGGTGAATGTCCTGAGTGTTTTCATTCCGGAGAATGAAAGGTGCCAACCGTCCTGGGAAAGGTGAGAAGTCAGCGTGGACAGCCTGGGGTCACCGTCACCACGGAGCTACAGGCCAGCGTCCTCTTCGTGTTCTAGGGCTCATTTTGTCCCTGGACCTGCAGGAAAGTGTGGCACCAATTGACCGATTGACCATCAGGTGAGCTGGGCCTCTCTCTCTCTCAGCACAAACGTGGGAAGAAAGGGTTTATTCTCTGGTGAAATCCCTTTGGGCCCAACCCACAAGTGTCCTGTTCAGTGAGCCTGGTCCCTCGACATACCACCATCCGCCCTCAGGTCCCTTTCAGCCACCTCAGAGGAGCAAACGTCACGGCTGCTGGACCGCAGTGCTCAAGCCAGAGTTGGCCAGGAGCCAGCACCTC